TGTTTACACATCTGTACAGACTCTGATAAACCACCCTCCAAGCAGTAAATTTCACATTATTTTTGTTCTTATCGTAAAAAACCCTTTCCTTTGCCTTGGACTAAATTTCCTTTTTTACAGTCGCAACAGGTGACCTGTATATAGCCCATGCACAAGCACATACACAACAGTCATACATAGGCAGAAACAAAGAGGATTAGCAAACAACATACAGGCACACACAGACAGGTGCATACCAGCAAAGACAGGCACACACAGGCATATACATTTGCACCTTTAATATTTATCATTGAAACGTATATGCCAGTAATTTGTCTTCTAAAGTGCTATATGAAACACACACAAGACCTTGATATTTTACTGGCGTTTTTTTCTGCATGTATAAAGCACTGTTGTTTGACAAGTGGTTGGTAGTTCATTTGTTTTTTCAAACCCCTATGGGGATTATAAAACTTACTGTATTTTAAACACTGGAGCACTGGAAGTTTGTTTGTGTTTGTATATTCTGAAGCCTGGTATTAACTTTCCTCTGGAACCCAAACCAGAGTGAGTGCACATACATTTAACATTCATATTTATATAAACCTGGGAACTATTCATGTATGGAAAAGTACACTGATTGGGCATCTCATAGTGGCATGGATTTACTATCTCTGGCAAATTATAACGTATTTCATAGACAGGTGTATACATGCACACACAGGCACAGATAGTTAAAGAAGTTGTATGTGATGATACAAGTAAGGATGTGAAAGCCTCATGGGTAAAAATATGCATAGGAGGAGATGGGATATCTATTAGTATTGCATCATGAGGCTTTTACATCCTTACTTGTATATTGTACATTGTGTATCAACACAAATCTTACACCCTTACCACCAGGTGCACAACATTGGCGGATCCAGGGGGGGGGCAACGGGGCAATTGCCCCCCCCCCCCCGAGATTCCCCCCTGCCGGCTAACGCAGGGCTGGCATTGTCCAAGTGCCAGCCCTGCAATGTGCCTGCGGACCGGGGGGAAGATCAGAGATCTCCCTCCCCGGTCCGCAGGCACTGGGCTGGCGGCTGGCGGCCGGCGGGGGAGGGAGTGAGAGAGAGGACCTGGAGCTCAGTCTGCAGCTCCTCCGGGTCCTCCTCTCTCTCGAGATTTGGAGCGTTGCCGCGGTTACCACGGCAACGCTCCAAATCTCGCGAGAGTGAACTCTAGCCCGGGAGCGCGGGCTAGAGTTCACTCTCACCACTGGGACCACCAATGAATCCCCACTGGGACCACCAGGGAAATGTCCCCCCTCCTCCTAAATAAAGGTAAGAAGGGAGGGGGGACATAGAATATTTATTTTATTAAATAAAAAAAATATATATTATTAAAAAGCCTCCTTCCCCCCCCCATTACACACACTGCCCCCCATTACACACCCTGCCCCCCCATACCACACACTGCCCTCCATTACACACACACTGCCCCCATTACACACACTGCCCCCATTACACACACACTGCCCCCATTACACACACTGCCCCCATTACACACACTGCCCCCCCATACCACACACTGCCCCCCATACCACACACACTGCCCCCCCATTACACACCCTGCCCCCATACCACACACTGCCCCCATTAGACACACTGCCCTCCATTACACACACTGCCCTCCCATTACACACACTGCCCCCCATTACACACACATCACCCCATTACTGCCCCCATACACACACTGCCTCCCATTACACACACACTGCCCCCACACACACACTGCCCCCATACACACACTGCCCCACAAACACTGTCCCCATACTGCACATTGCCCCCCATACACACACACTGCCCCACAAACACTGTCCCCATACACACACACTGCCCCCATACACACACCCCCACAAACATTGTCCCCATACACACACTGCCCCCCATACACACACTGCTGCCCCACAAACACTGTCCCCCATACACACACTGTCCCCATACACACACTGCCCCACAAACACTATCCCCCATACACACACTGCCCCACAAACACTGTCCCAATACACACACTGCCCCCATATGCACACACTGCCCCACAAACACTGTCCCCATACACACACTGCCCCACAAACACTGTCCCTGACATACACTGCCGCACTCACACACTTCACCCTTAACACACACCACTGCTCCTATACCCTATATCCCAGCAGACCCCAGGTAAGTTGTCAAACTGTTCTTAAACGGTATGACTACTTACTCTGGGGTGGAATCCTGGCACTACTGACACCATAACTACTACACTGAGCTGTAGTGGTTATTGTGCCTGGATTATTTATTTAAATAATCTACAAGTGCCCCTCCCGAGATCAGGCTCTGGATCCGCCACTGGTGCACAATATGGTAAAAAAAAAGTAATGTAGCTATACAGCTTCCTCTGGAGATATCTCATGTAGTATCCCCCAAATTCAGCAAACCAAAATACAATATAAAGAGGATACACCTGTGAATCTATAAAAAAAGAACACTAATATAGTGTAATTCAGTACAGCACATAAATAAGGCCCAGCCAGAAATACACTCACTAGAAGATAGATGGTAATGTTGCCTTAAGGCGCCTCCCTTTTGAATCATGGGGGCTAATCCATATTTTTTCCCCTGTTGGCAGCCGTCTCTACACACCAACTAGAGCTGGACTCCTAATTTCTTCCAAGCAGTTAAGTATATTAAACAATTAAGCCATGAAATGAAAATAAAATAATGAAATACAGAATTGAAGGCAAAAGAGTAACACAAACTATATTACACATACTATGCTTAGCTCTAGCCTTGTCTCTTCAGTTCAGTCTGTGCTGTGAGCATTCCTTACACTAGATAAGATGCCTCTATTTTGATTGGCTGCAAAAGGTACATTTCTTTCAGAGACTGGGAATCCAGAACATGTTGAAATATGAGAGGGGATGGCTAAAAAGGCTGGGTTACACTGCTGAAATCGGCAAACATTTTACAGCACTGCAGGAAAACTACACAGAAGAAAAATTAACCACAGGTATTTTGAGCTTATTAACTTTAATTTAAGCTTAACTTGTTTAGCTGCCTGGAGTGTGATACAGTTCTGCAGAAAAATATCACTAGTAAAACTGAAATCAGTTAGTTTAGATTAAAAAAAAATAAAAAAATTGTGTTCTTGGATAGAAAGATTGTAGAGTAGTTGTAAATAGTACATTTTAAATTGGACAAAAGTGGTAAGTGGAGTGCCTCTGTGTTCTGTCCCGGGTCCACTTCTGTTTAATCGGATAATAGATTATTTTGCAGTGGGCATTGATAGTTCTTTGTCAGTGTTTGCAGTTGACACAAAGCTTGGTAAGAAAACACAGTCTGAATATGATATACGTTATCTACAGAGGGATTTGAATAAATTGAGGGACTGGGCAGGCAAGTGGCTGGTGGGAATCAATAAAGATAAATGCAAAGGGTTCTTTACAGTAAAACAATAAAGATGTGGAATTTTCTGCCTAAATGTTGTGCTTTGACATTCTATAAAAAATTCAAAAGATAAAGGCTTGGATGCTCTTTTGCAAAAGATTCAAGGATATAATTGATATAAATGCAAACAGGTTCCCCCTTTTCGTGGGAAAATTGGAAATGGCTGCATTTGGTGGGTTTTTTTTTTGCCTTCTTTTGGATCAAAAGCATAAAGGAATGGGTGTCAGGTTTGAACTTGATGGACTTTAGTCTTTTTCTAACCTACACAACTATGTAACTATGTAACACTGACCTATATACACACACTGACCCATGCACTGACTCATATATACACACTGCAGGTTAACATTTTAAGTTCTACGTTACCTTATATTAACCCCTTGCCTTGGAGCATTCTCTCCATTCTCCAGCCAGCTCCAGTAAGAGCTGATCGGTAGGCACTGTGCAAGGCAGGTCATGGCAAAAGGCAAATCCCCAGAAGTTCTATAACTTCAACTACTATGATGCATTGCTAGCTTTTAGAATGGAAAAGCACAGTTGAAGTTGCAGTTCTACTTAATTCTCTTTATTTAAACATCACACTTCAACATTTTAGGAGAATATCTCATCGGGCTCTAGAGGTCACAAAGATTATGTCCCTTTCTGCACCATTCCAAAGGCAACTTATGATACCTTGTCAAGGAAGACTATGAGAAAGTGTAATGCTTTTTAAATTTTTTTATTATTTTTTTTAAACAATGCAGCTCTTCATTTACTAGCATTTATTTGTTGCAATCTTTGGTTGGTTTTATTATAAGTTTTAGCCAAGCTAAGTGCTTTCTGAAACCTTTGAAACATAACCTTCATTGGTAGACATGATATAAGTGTGGGGTGATGATAGCATTATTGAGCAAAGATAGTAAAAAAAAAAAAAAAAAAAGAGAAACAGCGCTAACTTGGGGTAGCAAATGGTAAAATTCACAATTTAAAAAGCAGGTTGTGTCTAATAATACTATACAACATTTGACTTGTATGAAAAATAAAATACAATTCACATTCACATATATTACCTTATGTATAATTGTCCCAAATAGATCCTTATGAAGAGAAAATTATTTATAAGATGGACTGTTTCGGTAAGGGTCTGGTATCCTCAACGGGTTAGCGAATGGGTTATGTAACAAAAATAAACACAAAATAGGCCTGATAGTGTAGTATTTTTTAAAAGTGATGTATTACTATAAAAGAAAGTGGAAATATACTCAAAAAAGGAGATATCAACTAGCTCAAAAACAACAGCATGGCAAGGATATAGCAGATGGGTAAACATGCAGGACATGCAACGGGTGTGGCTGCAGTCTCAACCACAGTCTGATGGAATGTCGTACAGGTGATATGTGAACATAAGCATGAAGAAATACCAATAGTGTAGTATCTTTTCTTTCCGATGGTCTAAATGAGAAAAGCCAAAGACACAAACGTAAAGCTTTGCAATCATCTCAAAGAAAACAGCATGAAGTGGTACAATCCCTGCTCTGGGACTAGGGGTAGATAATTTTATTCCAAAATGGCATATGGGGCAAACATAATAAGAGAAAATATGTAGTGCTTTCTGTTTATACCAACAATTTTATTGCTTGGGTGGCATAATCCCCACTTAGGAGATGTGAAGATGGGATCGATTGATGTAATGCCAGAGGAATCTTCAATGTAATATGTGATTGTAAATCCACAGAGGGAATAGTAGTGAACACTAGTATTTATTATGGGTAAAAAAAAGCAGACTTAAAACAATATAAACATTAACCCCTTAAGACCAGAGGGCGTACTATTACGCCCTATTTTAGGCGGCTCTAAACGCCGCCGAGCGTAATAGTACGCCCTCCAGTCTTTCCTTACTTACCCGGTCGTCGGCGGTCCCACGCCGGCGATCGCGGTTCGGGGGACTCCCAGGGAGGACCTCACAATCACATGGCCGAGATAGCTGCCTCCTGCATTGCCAGCAGGGGGGCTGCCTGTAATGACAGGTGGTCCCCCTGCTGGCTGAAAATAAAATAAATAAATGTTAAAAGTGTAAAAAAATTATAATATATACTTAGATCATAAAAATATTATATATATATATGATCTAAGTATATATATACACATATACATACACACACGTACACTGTATAGGTGTATTTTACTATTAATATATATATAATTATATATATATATTAATATCAAATTACACGTAGACTGATACTTATTAAATATATATATAATTATTGTTATATATATATTTATATATAATATAAAAAAATTAAATATGTAAATACATTAAAAAAATAATAAAAAAAATAATTAAAAAATATATAGATGTGTGTTATTTCGTTCTAACTGTATTGTGATATTAATATATATATATATATTTATATCAAAATACACGTAGAACGAAATAATATATATATCTATATACATAAATATATACGTATATATCACTATATATATACCTATATATAACTAAAAAATTATATATATACATATATATTCACATACGTATATATATATATACATATATTCATTCTAATATTAATATTATATTAATATTTTTACATAATTGGGTATCTTAATTAATTACAATTAGCGGGACCTGCCTGACAACCCATGCCGAAAGTAAAGGGAATTTAATTTGCTAGCACTATATTTAACCCTATAACTTTTCAAGACACCATAAAACCTGTACATGGGGGGTACTGTTTTACTCTGGGGACTTCGCTGAACACAAATATTAGTGTTTCAAAACAGTAAAATGTATTAAAACGATAATATCGCCAGTAAAAGTTTTGTTTTTTGCATTGTTCACGCACAAACAGCACTTACACGGACGATATTATTGCTGCGATACTTTTTACTGTTTTGAAACACAAATATTTGTGTTCAGCGAAGTCTCCCGAGTACAACAGTACCCCTCATGTACAGGTTTTATGGTATTTTCAAAAGTTACAGCGTTAAATATAAGGCTAGTGTTTCATTTTTTTCACATTAAAATTTGCCAGATTAGGTACGTTGCCTTATATAAAATGATATATAATAAGGGTGGGTGCATTTAATATGAAAGAGGTGAATTACGGTTGGACAGACATGTAGCGCAAATGCCAGGTTTTGTTTACATTTTGTTTTGTTCACAACGTGTACATTTGGCTCCGTCCTTAAGGGGTTAAAATCAAAAGGACCAGTATATGCACAACACTTTTAGCCACTAATGTGTTTTTAAGTGAAGGGTAGTTAAATGTGATATTATTTATACCCAACAATATTTACATGTATCAAAATACATATAATAACTAGTATTTATATAGCACCTTTCTCCCAGTGGGATGCTCTCAGAACCAAATCAGCAGCTGGATAGTAATAGATGTTATTATTACCCAATTGATTTTACTAATTTTATCAACCTCAGAAGGATGAAATTTACCCTGCGTGGAGTTGAACCTGTGATCTTGCATTTTTGAACAGGCTTTGTAGTCATGAAATGTACGAACTGAGCTACCGCATCAACTTTTTTTATTCAAAGGAGCACTATAGGGTCAGTAACACAAACATTTATTCCTTACCCTAAAGGGTTAAAACCACCGTATAGCCACTCTGGTCCCTCACTGTTCCAGTAATCTACTTTTTTATGTACATCCTACCTTAATCTCTATATTTAAAATAAATACTTATTCCACAGTTAAATGCATTTTGCATGCCATTGATAGTTTACCAGAAGAATTCTTTCATTTTCACAGAAAAAAAAGGCATATGTGCACTTTTATTAATTTATCTGGATTTAGTTAAATGTATTATGTAATAGTTGGCAAAGACCGTATATCATCCAAACCACATAAAAATGTGTCATTCACTGAGCAGCTAGAAAATAATATATTGCAAAACCACATACAAAATATCTCTAAACTGAAAGACTAAAATAATAGTTACTTAAGGTAATGTATTATAAATAACCAACATTTCATTAAAGGACCACTATAGTGTCAGGCCCCTCAGGTTTTAACCCTGCAGCTGTAAACATAGCAGTTTCAGAGAAACTACTATGTTTACAATAGGGTTAATCTTCCTGACAGCCGCTAGAGGCGCTTCCTATCAGTGTTTCCTATCAGTGTTTTTAATGTGCGCGCATGCGCATTCGGCTCCAGTCCAGAGCTGACGTCGGAGGGGGAGGTCACCTGGAGCCCAGCGCTGGATAAGGCTAAGTAGCTGAAGTGGTTTTAACCCCTTCAGCCCAGCGGGTGGTGGGTCCTTGAGGGTGGGGGGGACCTAAGGATTATATAGTATCAGGAAAACGAGTTTGTTTTCCTGACACTATAGTGATCCTTTAAGTAAAAAAAAAAAAAGAAGTAACAGAAATATCAGTATGTAGTAAGGCTGTGATTTCAAGGCTTTTTACACATAGAGGTTCTGGATTTAAATTTTGCTGTAGATCAGCATAGAATGAGTAACTATATTCTCCTCTAAACCAATATGCCTCCTCTTTATCTACTTTATAGTTTATGGAATTATTTTTCTGCCTAAATAATGAACTAGAGTCCCAAAATATAATCTTTAAAGTTTTTTTTTTCTGTTACAAAAATAAAGGGACAATATAGACACCCAGACCACTTCATATCGTTGAAGTGGTCTGGGTGCTCTATCCTTGTCCCCTTATCCCTGCAGCTGAAAACATGGTAAAGAAATGCTTTGCATGGGGACATACAGCGTCTTCTAAATCAATATGGGAAATCACTGATTCAATGCTTTCCTATGGGGAAGACCTACTGCATGCGCTATGCTTGTCGCAAATGCACCTTTGCCTCCCCCTCACAATTACATCAGAGGAGGTACCCAGTACCGAAGGATCTTGGTGCTTGACAAGGTGAGTGTTTAAAGGGTTTTTAATCCTTTAAATTTCACGTGGGTGGTGTGGGGGCATAGGGGCACTATAGTTACATAGTTATAGTTACATAGTTACAAAGGCTGAAAAGAGACATGTGTCCATTAAGTTCAGCCTTCCTCGCTTGTTTTTTGCTGTTGATCCAAAAGAGGGCAAAAAACACAGTTTGAAGCACTTCCAATTTTGCAACAAACTAGGAAAAAAAATCCCTCTTGACCCCAGAATGGCAGTCAGATTAATCCTTGGATCAAGAAGCTATTACCTAACTGTTGAAAAATGATATAATTGAATATTTATTTATTTTTTGCAAGTATGCATCTAGTTGCTGTTTAAACATCTGTATGGACGCTGATAAAGCCACTTCTTCAGGCAGAGAATTCCATATCCTTATTGTTCTAATGGTTAAAAACTTTCCTTTGCCTTATACTAAATCTTCTTTCTTCCAGTCTAAATGCATGACCTTGCGTCCTCTGTAAAATCCTGTTTGTGAATAGATTTCCACACAATGGTTTGTATTGGCCCCGGATATATTTGTATAATGTTATCATATCCCCACTGAGGCAATGTTTTTCTAAACTAAAGAGGTATACATTTTTTAACCTTTCTTCATAGCTAAACTGTTCTATTCCTTTTATTAATTTTGTTGCCCACCTCTGCACTTTTTCTAGTGCCATAATATCCTTCTTTAGAACAAGTGCCCAAAATTGAACAGCATATTCAAGATGTGGTCTTACCAGTGATTTATAAAGAGGCAACATGATATTCTCATCCCGAGAATGAATGCCCTTTTTCATGCATGACAATGCCTTACTGGCCTTAGCCACTGCTGACTGACATTGCACATTGTTGCATAGTTTGTTGTCTATAACAATTCCCAAGCCCTTCTCATGTGTTATCCCTAATTCGCTTCCATTAAGGGTATAAATTGCTTGTGCTTTGTTTACGCTGAAGTGCATAACTTTGCATTTTTCTACATTAAATTTAATCTGCAATTTTATTGCACAGTCCCCCAGTCTATCTAAATCCCTCTGCAATAAAGTAATATCTTACTCACATTGTATTACTTTATGAGTTTTGTGTCATCTGCAAACACTGAAACATGACTTTTTTTCAAGATCATTTGTAAACATGTTAGATAGAAGGGGTCCTAGAACAGATCCCTGAGGGACATCACTTGCCACCTCTGTTTAGCTTGAAAATTTACCCTTAATGACAACTCTTTGTACTCTATTTTTAAGCCAATGTTCTACCCAAGAACAAGGATTTTCATCTAGACCGGTTTCTTTGAGTTTGAACACTAATCTGTTGTGTGGAACTGTATCTACTACTTACTTCTTCGTAAAATGCAATCAAGTTAGTTTGACTTGACCAGTGCTTCATAAAACCATGCTGATTTTTGCTGATAACCACATTCATCTCAATGAATTCTTGAATATTATCCCTTAATAACTTTTCAAATACTTTCCCAGCCACAGAAGTTATCACAGGTCTATAATTTCCAGGCAAGGATTTTGAACCCTTTTTGAATATAGGATTCCTACAGTGTTAGGTATAAGTCTATTCTACTTAACTGAAATGTAAACACCTGAAGTATGAGATCCTATTGTTATCTTACCATAACTACTAATGTAAATTGCTTTTTGTTTATTGATTTATCCCTCTTAATCTATTATCGTGATTATACATTTAATTTTTTGTCTGTTTTTAATAAAGATATTGAGGGAAATGTGTTACAAAAATATACTAAGTCAACACATCTTAGAGTTGATTATTCTAACAAGGTTCTAACTCATAATTGGCATCAGAAAATGTTTATATATAGTGATGTACCGAACGGTTCGCCGGCGAACATAGCATTTTCGCGTTCGCCACGGCGGGCGAACATATGCGCG